CTCCTTATATGGTCTTGGATATTTCTTAATGAGCTAGCTTTTTGGGTTGAATGAGACCAACAGTCATATCTTAATTGGTTGATAATTTTGCAAGAATAGGCCAAGATCCGGATTATCTCATGCTTCTTTTCATAGCATTTTTAAAAGCCTGTCTGAAGAGCATAGAAATGCTACTCCTTATAGTTATACAATAGAGCACTATCGACCATACATTTCCCAGCTTTATTATTAGTTTATAGCAAAACTATAGGCGCTTTTTTCTGCAATAAATATCGAGAAGACTTTGCTACATGATTGAACTAACTTGTTTCGATATTTAGGGCTGCAGTTATGTAATATCATCATTCCAAGAATACTTTGCAATCCGAGCAAAAGTCATATTGTTTCTTGTTGAGGCTATAGGTAAGTTTGTAATTACTATTTGCATTTCTGACTCATGCATATAGCTTTCCTATGTTCTTTCTTTGTCATGTGAGTGCTGATTTCGTTACGATACATGAAAGCCACAGATCTCCTAATGGTGCTTGTTTCTTATTGTAATGACGGTCTCTTTAGAAGCATTAGTGAATGAGTTTTCATTTCATTTATGCAAGAAATTTGAGGCTTTTTTGTAATGCCATTGCATGTGGAGGTTCTTAATCAACTTTAAGAAGTGGCAGTGGAAAACACCCTCTAATAGAAGTTCAATTTTTATGCCTGACTGGTAAAACTATTGTTCATTCTTCTGTGTCCGTGATTTATGATTTTACTAACTGGTTTTCGATTTCTCAAGTAGATATATATCTCTTAGGGACAGTGATGTTAGTCTTTGGCATGGGTCTCTATGAACTCTTCATCAGCAACCTTGACAAGTCAAAATCAATGTCAGAGGAAAGAACTCCATATAGATCAAATCTATTCGGGATATTCACTCTAAAGGTTAGACTGAATCCGTCTCTTTAACAACTGCATATTGGTGCCAATTTTCCAATGCAAGATTCTGTTGCACAGATGACATTATCGTGTTTCTTGCGCACAACATCTGATTCATCTATTTTGTACAGGAACGGCCAAAATGGTTGGAGATAAAAACTGTTAGTGGGTTGAAGACCAAAGTTGGTCATGTAATCGTGATGCTTCTTCTCATTGGTTTCTTCGAGAAGAGTAAGAAGGCTGTCATACACACACCATTAGATCTGCTTTGCTTCTCAATTTCAGTGTTGCTTTGCTCTGGCTGCCTATTTCTGCTTTCGAGACTCACCGAGGAGAATTGATCGCTTCACAGTTTTGTACAGTCCAAAATATTTTAATATACTGGTGTTGGTAATCTTGCCTGAGCTTAACATGTATTTTTTTCGTGTCCATATGCATAGGTGCAGTATGTTTGCAACTGAGGAGTGATGTACAATAACAATCTCCTGCTTAATTTTTCCCATTTTTTTGGGTTCCTGTGCAGTTTATTCCTAGTCTGAGTTTATGATTCAGAGCCTGTATAATCTTGTAAAGACTTGTTTTCTTGTCTTTGGCAAACTTTGTATCCTTAACCATACAAAACAGGACTTTTTCTCCTTGCACCTATTAAGCAAGAAGTAACATTTTACTCCCTCCCTTCCAATTTATATGACACTTTTCGCTTTTCGAGATTTCAATTTTTAAATTTTGACCATATTTTTGATATATTGAATGATTTAGTATTCCAAAATAAAATTTACATATTTGAAAACTTTGTAAAAAGTACTATAAGCCACTAGGGGCTCGGGTTGCTGATCAGCTGATGAAGAGGTACGTGTTCTCGCCATCTACGAAAGAATAGAGTAGAGAGTTCAATTAGCATTCAGAGATCAAACCGCACAACAAAGATGAATAGAAGTGAAATTGTTCCTAACTCTGTAGCATCTGGAGGATAAACACATACGTCTCCATACCGATCCCTAAGACTCTACTAAGCTTGTTCGTGAATTGTGAGACCTAGAACACCTAGTGCTTTAATACCAATTTGTCACGACCCGAATTTCCCACCTTCGGGACCGTGATGGCGCCTAACATTGTACTCGCTAGGCAAGCCAACGTTACAGATTATTACACCTCTTCCCTTTATCCTTTTATAATTAAAGTTTAACAAAACGAAATCAACAGAAATAAAAGCAGAAGTACATAATTTAGTTAATTACCCATATACTATTAACGAAAGCCGAATAGATACCGCCCTGAAACTGGTGTCACAACTCACGAAGATTCTATGAATACTACATGTAATGGTTTGAAAGAAAATACATCTGTCTCGAAGAAAGTAAAACAGAAATAAAGTAAAGATAGGAGGGGACGCTAGGGCCTGCGGACGCCTACATGTCTACCTTGGGTATCCTGAATGTAGAATCAGCAACCGACCTCTCGATCAGCCACTACCAACTCCGAAATCTGCACAGAAACTGCAGAGTATAGCATCAGTATAACCGACTCCGTGTACTGGTAAGTGCCGAGCCTAACCTCGATGAAGTAGTGACGAGGCTACGGTGGGGCGTAACAATATATAACCTGCAACAGTTTATACTAAGACAGAAAGGAATCGCAGTATGAAATATGACAGTAACTTGCATTAAATAAATACGGAAACCAGACTTTCTACTGGTAATCAACTATTACCAATCCTTAAGAGATCTTCAACACTACAATAATGAATTTCAGCAGAAAAGAATACATAGATAACACTTGATGCGGCGCGCATCCCGTTCCCACCATATAATCAACAACAGTATAAGCATTCACCCTTATTGCTCCTTGTTATGGCGCGCAACCCGATCCTACTAGTCCACCCTTATTGCTCCTCAATACATATCACCCTTATTCATCCTGTTGCGGCGTGCAACCCGATCCCAACTGTCCACCCTTATTACTCCTTGTTGCGGCGTGCAACCCGATCCCACCAGACAATCACATTTCACCTTTATTACTTATGTTGCGGTATGCAACCCGATCCCAACATTTCAGTACCAATCACAGCACAAGAACAGGTATTTCACAATTTAACTTAAAACCTTCCGCAACATTTATACCTCAAATCATAACAACGAGAGGTCTATGCCATTATGAAACTTCAACAGTTAATACCACACAGCGAGACCAACCAAAGTATACCATGAAGCACCAACAAACCAACTTCAACCAACAAGGTAATAAAATGAAACTATGAAACAATTAATACTTCAATAGAGAAAACAACAGTTAATATGAAGCAATTAGACATGGAAACATTTATGAGCAAGTAGTAATTAAGACAAGAAAGAATATATTATAAAACGGGAAGGGAACATGCTAAAATGATAATTTGGTGGCGCATAGGTACTCGTCACCACACCTATACGCCACACACATGGAACTCCACATAGCAAATAAGTCGGGGATCCCTAATCCCTCAAGTCAAGGTTAGACCAAATACTTACCTTAAGCCAACAGGTATTTCAACGTTCAATTACTGTTTTACCTCTCGATTTCACCTCCAATCCACTCGTATCTAGTCATAATTAACTTAAAAACATCAATAAATGCTAAAGAAAACAATTCCAATGCATAACTAGAGGTTTCCCAATATTTTTCCCAAAAAGTCAAAACCTGACCCCGGGCCTGCTTGGTCCAAACTCGAAATTCGGACCAAAATTCGATTACCCATTCTCCTCCGAGCCCGGATATACAATTGGTTTTGGAATCCAACTCCAAATCGTGGTCTAAATCCCCAATTAATAAAAATCCCTACTTCTACCCAAAACCCCAATTTCTATCATAAACATCTCAGATTTTTGGTTGAAAATCATGAAATGTGATGGGAAAGTGAAAGAAAGTGGTTTAGGATCACTTACCAAAGTTTTGGGAAAGATTTGGTCTTGGGTGAATCCCTCTAGGGTTCTAGGATTTGAAAAATGTTAAGAAGGGGTGAAAATCCCGTCTAAGTTATGTTTTGAACAGTTGCAGATGACGCATTTGCGACATGAGCATCGCAAATGCAAACCTGTCGCATTTCTGCGACTGTCGCAAATGCGAACAATTGGTCGCAATTGCGATAATCCCCCCTTCCCTGACTACTTCGCAAATGCGAACATAGGCTGGCCCAACTTCCTTCGCATTTCTGATGGAAGCCTCGTTAATGCGACCTCCACAGTGATCGCAAATGCGAACCATGACCTCGCATTTGCGAGGTCTGAGGCCTGCAACACAATTGAAGCATACCAGCTATTTTTCTAAGTTCCAATTCACTCTGTAGCTATCTAAAACTCACCCGAGCCCTCGGGGCTCCAAACCAACACATGCACACAAGTCTTAAAATATCATATGAACTTGCTCGCGCGATCAAATCGCGAAAATAATATCTAGAACTATGAATTCAACACCCAAACTCATGAAATTTTCAAGATAATTTCAAAATTCTCAACCAAAGGTCTGAATTACATCAAATCATTTCCGTTTTTTTCACCAAATTTCACATATAAGGTCTAAATATCATAACGACCTGTACCGATCACCGGAACCAAAATACAAGCCCGATACCAACAAGATCAAATCTTTTAAATTATTACATTTTCAGTCTTATCAATTTTTTCAAAAATTCATTTCTCAGGCTAGGGACCTCGGAATTCGATTCCGGGCATACTCCTAGGTCCCATATTTTACTACGGACCCTTCGGGACCATCGGAACATTGGTCCGGGTCCGTTTACCCAAAATGTTGACCGAAGTCAACAAAAATCATCTTTTTAAACCAAAAATCATCATTTCTTAAATTTTTTCACATAAAGCTTTCTGGATACACACCCGACGGCGCACGCAAATCGATGAGAGGTAAAATGAGATTTTCAAGGCCTCGAAACACAAAATCATATTCTAAAACAGAAGACAACCTTTTGGGTCATCACACGGAAAAAGTATTTGATTTGAGTAAGACTATGCATTATTAGTTTTAGCTCCTTACAACATTCATAAAGAAGTGAAGTTGAAAACATAAGTATTTAAAACTGAAGTTTAAAAGAGAATCATAAAGAAGTGAAGTCGAAAAGATGAATATTTGAAAAGAGTATGTGGAAGTTACTTCCTCTTTCTTTGCTTTTTCTTCAACCATTGATCATCCGATGATAGCCTTTAACCTATACTATAGCCTATAGCCTCCTTGCCAACATAAACCCATGTCTCTTGAATTCTTTCTTCATGTTAAATATTCCAGAAGAGTTTTTTATACGACGGTATATATAAATTTAATCGGAAAAAGAAACAAACATTATTAAAAAAAATTGAAATTAGCTACAAACTTTGTCTCTAATCTATTGCTAAATCTCTTGTAGCTAAAAGAATTTTTTAATAATTATCGCTAAGTATGATTAGCGACGAATTTTATTGTTTAGCTACCGTATTTGTCCGTCACTAACTCTTATTTTTATAGTAGTAAAATAGATAGCCGGATTTAACTTCTGTGACTAATTGTTTTGTAGCTTTTTACTTCATCATAAAGTGATCTATAATAACATTATCTATAGTAATTCTGAATTGTGAACCTAAAAAGACCAGCTAACTAATTTAATTTCTTACAGCCATTAAAATACACTAGTGTAGATACTATTTACACCATAGGCATCATAGTTGGATAGAAGTTGAATCATACTTAACCATAAACCAACTCCCCCCTCTACAACAACGTGCCCCACGGTGCCACATCAGGTGGATCTGTTAGTTACGACTTCACGTGATATATATAGAGAGAGATCAACTGGAGATCATTTTATTTCAAATTTTGAATTCGTATTTGTGCTACATATATAAGTTATATCCCAACCCCCCACCCCTCTCAAGTCTCAACAACCGAAAGAAGCACTGTAACAATTAAAGAGATTGACAAGTCAAGGGTTTTGATCAAAGAGCTTTCTTTTAAGTAAAATAAAATAAAGAAATGATACCTCTCTGTTTCAAGAAAACCAATCCAAAGGCTTCTAAAAAAAGGTGAAGTAGCCCGAAACGAAAGTACGAACGAATTAGAGGTAGCACGCACCTAAACTATTTTGAGTAATCTTCAAACTGATTCTTCCTTTCCTCTTTCAACTTTCTTTATTGAAAGCCGCCCCTGCTGTACCAAAAGGAAAGAATTATCTCTCTTATGGAAAAACACCAAGTCATATTTCCGTTGCTTGTCTTCTTTGGTTTTATCTCCTTCTCTCTTTGCATAGCTGCTGAATTCAAGAAATCAAAGGTATGTCTATTACATTCACTTTTCTTGGATCATTTTTTAATGAGAATTTCCGTATTATTAAATTATTGAAGACATAATTAAGCAAGTAAAAATTGTCTGTATCAGTTTAAGCTTTTAAATGAGATGGTCGTTTTGTCATGTTCAGAAGAAAGATCTGAGACTAGATGGGAAATACTGTTACTTCCTAGGAAGCGCGGCGTTCGGATTGGGAATTGCAGCTTTAACATGTTTATTCATTGCTCAATTCATTGGAAACTTGCTAATATGTAGAAAGTTATTCTCAAGGGATAAAACTGAAAACAGTTCCAAGGTTGAGAACAAGTCCATCATTGCTGGCCTCTTTTTGGCACTTTCTTGGTAGGTCCTTGTTCTCAAAAAACGTATTCGCAATTAGTGTTTACAATGTCTCGTATATAATTTTTTATCACTAAGTTAATGCATATTCTCACTTTTATAGTTGATTCATAATAAGGTTAAATTGCTAAATTTAGTGTGGGAACACATAATAAATTTTTCTTTACTTTCCTAGCTTTTATTGACCTTTTAATCACTCACGAAATCAAGGGATATATAGTCACTTGCATCGAGTTTTACGCTAATAAAACTGGAGAATTGTTCGATAATATTAAAGTATAAATCATGCTGCTTGACTAAAGTACATGTGTCAGAGAGGTGAACAAAAATAAATTCCTGTATTAGAATATCTCTGTTCTGAGATATCATTGCCCGCAAAATCTGCCAATTCTGAGATACTTTTCTTCTCAAATAATAATATTTAAAAGTAAGCATTATATATANATGTTTGTTATTAAAAATTATTGTAATTTTGATTTTCAAATGACCTGAGAATGTAAAAAAAAGTTTAGTGTCCATGTATAGTAGCTAAACTCTAATTCATTTTCCTAGAAAAAATAATACTATATGCAAGGGTGTATCTACACCATTCGTTGGAGTATTCTCTCTATACCATGTATAATGTTATATTCTTAAAAATTACTTAAATATATATGTGTATTTAAACTCTTATGATTCAGTGATTATTGGGTGCACCTTTACAAGTGAAGTTAGCGGTTCGATTTTCAATTTTTAGGCATGTCTAGTGTCCCCTCTTGTGTTTTAATTAAGTATATTTTTTTATTTGGTTTATTCATTCAAAATCGTCACATCTAACACATTGAAATCCTCGATCTCTCTTTGTCATTGCAAAATTTTATATTATTATATCTAATAGCTATGAATGATGTAGCATGGTTCAATGATCTCAATTTTTTAATGTGTGTGTGTATACATATATATATATATATATATATATATATATATATATATATATTAAAATTGTAAGAAATTTTTTAATTTTAACCTATAATTTCTAAATGATAATGGATTCATGCTAAGAGCCTAAAAGTTGAATCCCTTTGCACTATTATAAATATATTCCATCCATTTTCTCAAAATCTTGATCTGCGCCTGATATGTAATTACCTACTAATGAACATGGACAGCTACGAATTAAAATTTTTAAATGAATTGTTGAGTTCTCTGACATTTTGAGTAGTTGATTAATAAAAGGATCTTTATGAAAATAGCCATTAGATTCACTGTTTACTGTTCTTATTCTTCTGTGTACATAGACTATAAACTGATTATATACGGTTATACACATATATAGTTTAAGGAGTTAGGTAAATTTAGATTAATTCTTTGTAAACATAATATAATAAGCTAAACAAGTTGCAGAAATGGAATGGTGGGTGCAGGATCAGCTTTGGGATTGCTGTAATTTTAATAGGGGCATCCACAAGCATGAGCAGAAATCAGCACTTTGGTGAAGGATGGTTAGATGGAGAATGCTACATAGTCAAAGATGGTGTCTACACTGGCTCAGCAGTTTTGGTATTGGTCACTTTGAGTTCAACCCTTGGTTCAGCCATCATGAGAATAAGGAAGAGAAATCAAGTGGAACAAGATAGGAAAGTGCTTCAGCAAGTACTTCAATAGAAAAGATAGAAGATTGGAAAGGAAAATCTCAAACATTTTATAGTCTTTCTGGAGGTGAAGGTGTTTCTTTTTTTTCTTGTTTTATGATAAAAGGTCCAAATTCACCTTTCTATTATACGAAATATTGCAATTTCATTCCGGTTATACTTTCTGATCCTTTATATCTTTGTTATTAGATTGTCTTTTACTACAACGACACTCTAGCGCGCATGTGCGAAGCTACATTGTCTCCTAGCTAATTAAGGGTGGTCAATTAATCACCACTCATTAAAAAATTACGTTATGTATATAGTAAAATATATTTTGGAAGTATATAACATATATTAAACATCCTCTGCTGGAGAATTAATTCGTCTCTTTCAAATTCGAACACCCTTGGAACTACTGCTCTAGCGTTAAGTGTATAGATTCCAAGCGTCAAAATATTTTTTTAAAAATATATTCATATTTACCTTCCTACTTTTGCCAGTGCTTTAAAATTACCCTTTATAGTACTTCGTTAGAGCTCCGTTAAGTTTAAGTCAAATACTAAGGACCGGTTTGACTATAGATTTTGCCAAAATAAATTTGGGTTTTATTTGGCAAACACATGTTTGACCATAGATTTTGGCTACATTTTGGCAAAATTCCAAATCTCAATAGCTGGTTTTGGGCTAAAATATCACCATTATGTTTTTTAAAAATTGTCCCAAATTTTTGTATTTTATAAGAGAGCCCACCATTTATTATTTTGTAACAATGTTGTTTCGTCTTCTCGGTCAACTATGGCCAAACATGTGTTATTTATGTTCAGGCGTATAAAAGAGCCCACCATTTATTTTATGATAATGTACCAAATTTACTTATGTTCAGGACTATGGTTTGCGATAATATAATGAATGTTATTGATAAAGGTACTGTTGGGTATTTGTGATAGTTTTTAGAACTTGTGGATATAAGTCATGTTTCATGTTTTTCCAAAATAAATTTGGGAATTATGTTTTGAAAACTGATATCCAACTACATTTTCATCTTGAAACCAAACTTCACCCAAATCAAATTTTTCAAACCAAATTTGAAAATTTATGGTCAAACACTAGCTAAATCATTTGCTTAACGACAAGCATATGAATGGCAACAAATATGACGAAGGATAATATTTGTCACACCTCCTTTTTACCTACCCCCGGAAGGGCGTAAATGAGTTTTTCCAATTAAAGGACAATCGAAACGGAATTATTATTAAAAGATTCAGAGTTGCCACTTGGGAGATTTATGGTGTCCCAAGTCACCGGTTGAAATCCCGAATCGAGGAAAAGATTGACTATGTTTAATAGTCCGCGAACCAGAAATCCGGGTAAGGAATTCTGTTAACCCGGGAGAAGGTCTTAGGCACTCCCGAGTTCCGTGGTTCTAGCACTGTCGCTCAACTGTTGTATTCGGCCTATTTATCTGATTTTAACACATTTTGAACCTATGTGCAATTTTAACTTCACCGCTTTTATTCATTTTTAAAGAATATTGTAACGTTATTAGAACACGTCTCGAACCACGTCACATAAATGCATCCGTGATTTTGACATATTTTAACATCGTTGAGAATTGGATTTGGGTCACATAAATGCGCACTCGAATTTAGGAATGTAATATTATTAAACTAACGCGCCTAAGCAATTACGATTTTGCAACTTTGTGAGGGCCATGGAAATTCAATTAGATGGCACGCCTCGAATTCTAAGGATTAAAACAAAATTAATTAAGCGACGGCCATGCAATTGTCAAATTGTTTGGCACGGCACACCCCAATTCTAATTTTTAAACAAAAGAAGGAATTTAAATTACCTTTGGAGGGCCACAATTATTTATGTTATTTAAATGGCTCACTTCAATTTATTTAAAAATAAAATCTAATTAATCTCGGGAGGGCCATGATTGGTTTTACTAATTAACACGGCACTACCCAAATGACTACAAAGACTTTGCTAAAAAAAAAACCCAATGAAACCAAAGTTGAAATTAATCGGGAGTTTAAAATTATGACTAAGTGAGGTCCAATGACGTAGTGGAATCACCATGGCACAAAGTGTTGGGCCCTGCAACAAATTTTGTTTGAGCCCAAGCGGAGAGCCCAGATCTCATGAGGCATGCTCAAGTCGAAGCTCGAATGGTCTCATTTCGAGCCCGGGTACTAGCAGTAAGCAATTTAGATTTGAAATATAGAGTGACAAGAAAGTCCAAACATCACAGATCCAAGAATTCGATATTGAAAAACCCCAGAATCCGAACTAACAATTACTAGACATCAAAACATTGATGATAATTAAACAGACAATTGTTCCAAGCCATTTTTAGTTCCAACACATTCATGTGCCAATCCATGAAATACTATGAATTAGCTATTACTGAAACTTGTAAGACTAAAAATAAACATGCTCATTTCTGAATTTCCACATTCAAGCCAATTGATTAAACATTTCAAACTTCTACACCATTTCTAAACTAAAATCACTCACATGCTATTTGACAATACATCAGCAATATCCTGATTACCCTTTGCATTTTTAACCCCCACTCAAACATGAGATTAACACCCAAAACAACGATTGCTCATCTTTAGCCAAGGATGAAACGACCTCACTACATTTTTAGCCTACTCGAAGCCCTTAATGCAACATTCCAACAGTCCAAAATTTAATTACAACATGAAAACTTGGCTAATCAAACAGAGACCAACTAAACGACATTATGAACAGATGACTAAACACATAAACATCATGAAAGATCAGCACTGCCTTTATTCCATGTTCAAATTGAAATCTACATCATGAAGAATTCAGAATTTGTACCTGGAGATTAAAAGGAAAGAGGTGAAGAAACAGTAACAACAACAGAACAACAGCCTCAGCAAACCAGTTCAAACCAAGAATTCGAGATGATATAGTAACAAAAGTAACCCCAATCAAGCTGGGACTACAGCAACTTCAAACCAAGCTTTTTAAAATCCAAATTCAAACCATTTCCACATCAACTGAATCAAAATTATCTCAGAAACTGAACAAATCAAAGCCTACTAAAAAAATGCAATGGAACAGTGCAAGCACTCAGCCGTTTGTATTTTTCAGATTTTTTTCTCTTTCAAGTCCTTTAACTCTTGCAGTCTATGAAATAGTAAAATTATGCAACTTCTATATTTTCTGGATTTCCATCTCTCAAACTCTACCTTGAAAGGCAAGAAAAGCTGCCTTTATAGGCAAGGCACTAGGGCAGCCTAAAGAAATCAGATTTTTCATTTTGACCCTTTTCATTTTTTCGTTTTTGCTCAAAAGCCCTTAGTTTAAAGCATCAGATTTCATATAAGTCCCCGCCCCACTTTCCTAGAAGTTTCTGAATTCTGTTACCCAAGATTCCCTTTCCCAATTGCCAAAATTACCCTTTTAAAACCCCTATTTATTACCTCTGAAAACCAGACCCAAAAAAATGGGTTAATAACCCAAACCAATTTGGACGGGCCGCTCTTTGCCAAATGGACCAGAGACAACCCAAATCCCAAACGAACACTTATCTATTTGAAGAGAAAATCTGCAAGCCATGATAACATGAAATGATTTCAAAGCAAACCGACTTAAATTACTGATCAATTAACACGACTAGGCAGGGAATTAACTAAGTTGAAATAACCTAATTTAAACTAACTTGGGTGACTAAACAGAAAGGCAAGATCGGAGAATTAGCCACGCTATTAACATAATGGACTAAAGGAATCAGAAAACAGGCTTTCACGAAGAAGAGAAAACAGTGAATAAAAGACCAATTTAAACTCGAAAGATTAATCGAGTTTCATTCAGATTAGTATGAGAGAACTAAGCTAAAGAAAAGGGGAAGAAGAAAAAGAATAAGACAGTAAAAGAAAGAGAACACAAGAGGAGAAAGGAGCTTACCGATTCAGACTCGAAATCTATCGGAGACACAGGGCCTAACAAAACTAACGCCGATCGTTTGAATCCAAACTTCAAAACTCGAAGAACAGCCCTTATGACCATACATGCACCAAGTCCGATAGAAAAATGGCTTTTGAACTTTCAGGGCTCGAACTCAGATTTAGGATTCGAGAAGCTCCGGCAAGATTCGAGGAAAACGGAGTGAGGATTCGGCATGAGGGGGTCGTGGTGGCTATGTGGTGTTAATCTGGGGTCATTTGGGACCAGCGCCGTCGGGCTCGAGGTGGGGTAATGGAGGCGGCGCTTTAAGGTTTTGGGTGAGTTTCTGAAGGTTGGATGAGAGAAGTGAGACGAGTGAAAGAGAGGGGGTTGGAGTTCGGACAATTATATACGTGAAGCACCCCGGTTCCTGGCCGTTAGATTAAAGATCATAGATGGCTGAGATTCATTTCAGCCTAAACGGCACCGTTTGGTTGGGGTATGGGACGGACCGAGTTGGTTTAAGGTAGACGGGCGGCTAAGGCTGGAATTGGGTTGGGGCCTGGTCGGACTGGGTCGAAATTGTTTGGGTTGAATGGAATTTGGGCCTTGCATTTTAATCCATTACTCAACAGCCCTATTTTTCTTAATTCTCTATTTCCTTTTTTTTTCTTTCCCTTCTTAATTAATTAAAACTTAAATTAAAAACTCCTAAAAACAATTAATTTACTAAGTTAAGCTAAATACCTAATATAATATTTACAAGAACTAATTACTTCTAAATTAAAGGAGAAATTATTGATTTAGAATTAAAAGGCTAGAAATGCAAAAGTAAGCCAATTTTGTGATTTTCATTTTAATGAAGCACCTAATTTAATAATTAACCTTAAAATGTGAAAATAAATCCTAAATGCTAACGCATGGTATTTGTTTTTTTATTTTTCATGAATTAAATAAAATAAATATGCACAGACAAATGCAAACAATCAACAAAAAATGCCACAAAAATCCACAAAATTGCAAACTGAAAGAAATTATTTTATTTTGAAGTTATGGGAGTAATTGATATATAGTGCAAAAATCACGTGCTCACAGCTTGACCTCTTTGCCCGGAAACACGAAGAGTTTTCGTGCAAAGATAAGTGAGCGGATACGAGCGATTTTTGCCCGTTTGAATACTCCGTATGAAGCATTTTTGAAAGATCTGACCGCACCCTGCTTCTGAGGTTGCCTACATAT